TGGACATGCTGCCCAGGATGACCCAGGAGATGGCGTGACACCTAGGAGCTTTATCCGTATGCAGGCACACAACCCAAGTGGTGGCATTTCTTAGAGTCAGGAACTCACACACTGGCAAAGGGGAACCACCCAAACTTCTGAAGCTGGGCGTGCTGGGGAGTTTGGGACCAGGTGGCCACATCCAACAGATACGGTTTAGCTGGAGGGGATGCGAGCCCAGTGGTCACCGCCGGCAGTGGCAGAAGCGCTCTCCAAGGTGCTGAAGCCTCCTCCTCTCCTGAGCAAAGCCTTCTCCGGCCAGAGCCAGGACCCTGCCAGCACTCCAGCCCGACTGCCACGCGGGCTCTCACAAGCCAGAAACTACCCACTGGGGAAGTAGCTGATCCACTTTACACAAACTTCAACCTGCCTTCTAGTACTCACAAATCTAAACATCTTTTTGTCATTTAAGGACACAAAGAGCATTACATACAGAATCTTCAGCACACAGTTGAGATCTAGTTATATTTAGACTTGTGGAGGCCTAGGAAGAGCTGCGGGAGAAACAGTCTTGGAGCACAACAGCAGAGGCTGCTGCCCCATTACCACGCCCCTCCCGCTCTGCCTCTCTCTGACTGGTGTCCTCCTAGAAGATAGGGCTGGAGTTCTGTCCTCCCTTGGGTCAGCTGGGGCCACTCACCCGCTGCCCTGTGGACACAGCATCTCAGGAGGGGCTCACAGTGCCTCCCTCCAGCTCTCTAGGGCCCCAGCAGAAAGCAAGGTGAGCGGCCTGAGGCCGTAGCTGGGAGGGAGGCTGTGCAGGGACATTCCTTCTCTGCTCTCTGTAACAAGCAACACAGACAGCTATTTGTGTCCTCCTCCTCTTTTCACCTAATGGTGCCTTCCTCCACCCACCCCCGAAGTGGCTGACAGAGACTCTCGGAGATGCTTTTATCTCTCATTGCCCGGAAATCAGTTTCTGTTGGTGTAATCTCCCTGTGGAGGGACCTGCTTCCTCCCAGCCTGGGCAGCTGGGTCTTTCAGAAAAGTTTACTTGTCACATATTCATAGCCAAGCGCCCAAGATAGGCCCAATGGTAGTTTATTTTGTTTGGATGAGATATGTAAATTTTTTTTTTCTTAAAAGGGCCACTAACAGCATAAGCGCATGTTTAAAATGGAGACCAAGCACACCGTGGCATCTGCTGTCTGAACTCCCCGCTTACACGGCTGGGAGGGATTCTGAGTTCTTGGCAAGTGGGGAGCGAGCAAAGCCAGGAGGGTGCACGCGGCTGTGTTTTGGGGGACTGGGTAGAAAACGTCTCCAGGTGGCAGGTGCCTTGTGCGCCTTTGTGCGCAGGCGTCCGGGTGCCTCTGAATTCTGCCTGTGGGTGTGTGTGATTTGTGTGGGCCGAGGAATCTGGGCCGGTGAACGGGACCTGAAGATGAGGGGAGAGGCCGGGGCGTGAGATGACTCACATCGCTCAGGGTGTGGGAGGGTTTCGTTGAGGAGTAATTGTGGTCCAAGGGGTTCTGTGTACGCAGCACCCAGGAAGAAACGCTCCCCCGTGCAGCAGAGAGTAGAGGTCCCTGGAGTGGAGAAAGTGGTGATCTCAGTGGGGCTGGAGGAGTACCGGGGAGGGCGTGGTTTGTGGGTCTATATGCGTGCACTTGCCTGCAACTCTGGGCTCCTGGACCTGAGAAAGAAGTATGGTCGTGAAGAAGAAAGAACAGGAGGTATTCCTGCACAGTTTTGAGAGAGGTATACCGAGCCTTTGCATAGGCTCTGGAATCACTATCCTGAGCATGAATCCCAGTCCCACCCAAGGCACTTCTGTTGGGAACCTCTCCTTCCCAATAAGTAAAATGGGCATGGTGAGAAAACCAACCTTCTAGTGGTATAAGAACTAAGGCTGTAAACACCTGCCCTATGCCTGGCAAGCCAGTGTCCACTGTTACCATTCTCTTATATTTCCATTATCTCCTGAGGGCAGACCTGGCTAGTGGCTCTAACAGTGAGCGTTACAATGACAACCACTGCATGTGAACTGTAATAATAAAAACAATGGTGAATAATAATGAAAGTTTACTGTGATCGGCATGACCACCCGCGCCGTTCTCAACTAATCCACACCTACTCTACAGGTATTAATCAGCCCTTTGTAAAGATGAAGAAAGAAGATCAGAGAGGTTGAGTAACTTGTCCAAGGTCACAAAGCAAGGCGATGGCAGGGCCAGCATTCAAGCCTGGGTTGTCAATGCCACACGTGCTCCTGTCCACGGCCCACCCCAGGGCCTCACCACACAGATCCAGAGGCTGATCCTCTCATATCAGGAGCGGCACCTGCTGCATGGAGGGGACAGCAAGCCTGGAGAGGAGGTGCCAGATTCTATCCCCATTCCACAGAGAGGTAGAACACATTTGCCACTGGAGCATTATTCATGAAAATCACTGTTTCCTCCACTCAGCACTGCAAGCTGGACTATAGTTCAGGAGCTTTGCCCAATATGTCCATCCCTTGGATAGAGGGAAAGTCAGATTGGAGTCAGGATCATGAACTCACAACAATGGCTCCAATTGCTTGCTCAGAAAATGTCCAAGCAGGGGAAGGCAGGGGGCCCCTGTTCAGTTCACTGCACTCCAGGAAGGGCTGCTGAGGGCGTGCATTCCCCACAGTTACTGCCTTCTTAAGGAGAGACTCCTCCAGAAAAGTACCCAGGTGTCTGGACCTGATTACCCCACCCAGGGGTTCAAGCCAATTTTCCCGCACACACTGTCCCTAACCAAAGAAACTGCTGGCCCTGACGCTCACACCTGTGCCTGCCTCAGTCCCCCCCATAGGAGAGCGGAGAACCACATTCCTCTGGAGGGTATGTGCAGGGTCTGGGCTCCATTCTAGCTCTGCAATTTGGGAGCAGGGGCTGGGTCCAGACAGGCTGGGGGCCCTTAGCTAACATGGATTCTGGGCCTCACTGGCCTTCCCCACAAGATGGACATGACCCAGCAGGTCGATGAAGAAAGGCCTTGGGTAGTGGGACGCTCACTGCTAGTAGAGAACCCTAGGAAGTCAGCCCACAGACAGAAATGCTTCTCATATCAGCACGTTGGGACTCGAACTCACAGCCAGCCACCGAACCAGGCCCTCTCTCCTACCACCCTTTCTCCCTAAGACGTAAGCCCCATGAGGGCAACAACTGTGTCTGCTTTGCTCACTGCTGTCCTCCAGATCCTGGAACAGCTAGATTATGGTAAATGCACAAGAAATATTTCCCAAATGAAGAAAAGAATTCCTCAGGCTGCTGAAAGCTGGGCAGGCCGGGGCACCCCCTCCAAACATTCTAGGAGTTTCCCAGACACGACAGGAGCCCAAGTCCCTCTTCTGCCCATGCCCAGCATGTGCCTGGCACACACAGCTTTCCCAGAGTGGGCACAGTGGGTAGCCCCTCTGCAGAGCAGCCTGGTCTGAGCACTGGGAGTGACAACTGCCCCTGGGCTCCCAAACAGCCCAGCTGGAACCGCCAGGCTGCCTGTCTGCCTGCCTCAGCCACCCACATCTGCTGCCGGGGCCTCGCCGTGCCTGCGCGCGCACACAGACACACAGGCGCACACACACACACATACACACGCCCACAGCCTGGAACCAGGGAGGACCGTCTGCTCCTGCCCAGCCCTCCGCGCCCCAGGGTCAGGGAAGCTCTCCAACCTGCTCCATGAAAACAACAACAGCACAGAAAAGGGCCGCCTGAGACCAGGGCTGGGCACAGCTTTGACAGGCAGGAGCATTATATAATTAACTGCCCCAGACTCCTCCTCCTCCTCGGGTACTAACGAACCCCGCTTTTCAGTTGCATAAGCCAAAATAATAATTTCTCTGCAGCCCCTGTCACTCCTGGATGTGGCCAGGGAGCAGGTGTTCAGAGCCTTCTTCCCGAGACTCAGAGGCAGTGGCAGGCAGGGAGAACGAGACCACAGACTTATCCAGCAGAAGCCCAAGTCATGGCTGCATCTTGCCCCTCTCCCAGGCGTCCACGCCTGGAGCACAGCTGAGCAGCCCAGAGGGGGCAAGGAAGGCACTTCCGAAGATGAGCTCTTGGCTGGGGGGCAGGGGGATGCAGAGAGCAGGTTTGTTTGGGGTCCCACTTCCAGGAATGGCAACAGATCCCTGCACCTCCAGTGCACGGAGGGTGGGCACGGAAGCATCTGGCCGGGGGCAGCTGTAAAGCCGGCTGAGGCTCACTGCACAGAAACCATTTCTCCTCAGCTCAGGCCAACTGCTCACAGACTTCCTGCACCAGGCTCTGCCCTGAATGTGGTGGCATCTTAGAATAAAGGCCCAGAATAACCCTCCAAACTAACGGTGAAAATGATTCAGCCACTGAAAGGCAAGATTCCTGGGCTCTGGCTAAGCAGATGGGCCTCCCCCCGCCACCCCAGCAGCCTGCTTCGACAGCGCCAGCCCGCGTCCAACCACCTAGAAGTTTATTGCCTGGCTGTTTTGGTTTGGGCTGCCATCCCCCGCCCCTAGCGCTCCCAATCACTCCCTTCCCGTTGGCTTGGGTTGATTCAGGACTGAGGAAGGCCCTTGAGCGCCTCAGGAAAACAAGCAGCGGAGCCTGAGCCTGATACCAAAGGCGACACCAAGGGGGCCACGCCGAGAAGGGGGTGTCCTCTCTCAGCCCCCTCTGCCCTCGAGGGTCCCAGGGGTGGCCAGGGCCCAGATGGGCCTTGGGCAGGTCTCAGGCCTGCTCTGGCTGAGGCACTGATACTAAGCTCTGCGCTGCGGCCCGGGGCCTGGCTCTGGTCCTGGAAGGCCCCCAACACCCTGCAGCTGGCCCTGGGCACTGTCCCCCCCCAGGCAGTGGGGCAACCTGTAGCCAGGAGCGCTGTGGCGTCCAGGAAACCCCAGGAGATGCCCCAGGTGCCCAACTGGAGGGAGAAGCCCAACTTCCCCGGAGATAAACAGAAGGGGCCGGGTTGAGAGAGGTGCCCTCCCCACCCCAGCCCGCCGCAGCGGCACCTACCTCCATCAGAGTAGGTCTCGGTCCCATATCCGTCCTGCAGCCCGTTGCTCCAGGTCCCTTCGTACTTGGCCCCGTTGCCCGTGCACTCCCGCACCCCGTAGCGCCCCTTAAATCCGTGCGTCCACTCGCCCTTGTACACCCACTTCCCCTTGCTCTCCAAGCCGATGCCGTGGCGCTTGCCCTGCGCCCAGGTGCCCTGGTACGTGTTGCCGCTGGGCCAGGTGTAGACGCCCAGCACCTCGAAGCCGTGGCTCCACGAGCCGGTGTATTCGCCTTGGCCCTTGGGGCCGGTGCAGACGCCATGGCCGTGCGCCTTGCCGTCCTCCCAGCCTCCACAGTAGGACCCTCCGTCGTCAAAATTAAACCTGCCCCCACTGGACATGCATGAAACTCGGTTTGCAAATCCCGCAAACGGTGAAAAAAAAGGAGGCGATCAACAAATCGGAGTCTTGCTTGGCTGGCTGGCTTTCTGTTTTGGTTCGGTTTTTTAAAGGAAGAATGGAGACGGCAAAGACGACAGCGAGCAGCTCCGGGGCGGCGGGGCCGCGGCGCCGGCCTCGGCGGGGTCTCGGAGGGTCGGGGCGAGCGCTCCTCCCCGAGCGACGCC